ACTTAGATCTCTCGTCTATTAGCTCATATCCTTATCTGATTATGAGTTTTTAAAAAATAAGGGTCCAGAACCTCAAGTTCTTCTTTTTTTTTCTAACCCATATTTGTTGATCATGCTTGAAAATCAAGTGGAATACTAAAGATGAATTCGGAATACTAAATGAAAATCTGTTTCCCTTGAAAAACCTTCGCTTCATCTCAGATCTTCAAAACTAGTATGTACTTACTCTCAAGAATTCCCTAAGATCATGGGCTTCAGGAAACTATTAGACACAAACTAGTAGATACAAACTCTCAATCTTTTAGCTCAAACTTCTTTACTCTTTCGTCAAACTTTCCTGCCTAAATTCCTCCTGTATTTGAGTGTGCTTGGAAACTTGTATTTGTAGACATAGAAAATAACACTATCCACTTATACCCAAAGGTGAATACTTTCAATGTAGTAATTTTACTATAGTTATATCTCTTTATAGTATTAGATATGCAAGATAAACTCATAAAAACTAATACAATCTGACAATGGAAAGATTCTTGGAGTATTGGTTATTAGATACAAAGGCAGTTTTTTGAGATAATTTTCTGCTTTGTCCTATGCTGTAGTGTAAAAATGAGTCTATAGTTAAAATCACATGTATCTAACATGTTTCTTGTATGTAAAAATCTGACACATGGTAGTGCCCCCAGTTTTACTCCGGAGACCTCTTTTGTAATTTTCAAAGGTAAATGGTGATGAGGTAAACTTCCCCAGTTAGGTTTTACTTCCTGGGAGGTACTACCTAATTATATTCCTTTTAAGTGACATTAAGACACATGAGTCCCATGGTGATGGCTAGCTATAATGACGGCAAAAGTGCAAGAATGCAAGGAAAGGAAACCTACTTTTTTTTCCTTTCTCAGAAAATTGGGATTGCAGCTCCAATTTCACAAGTTTGTTTCAAGTCTTTGTTTATGTCATGCTCACTAATGTTGGCCAAAGCAAGTTACATGACTAAGCCCAAAGTCAAAGGCTGAAGAAATGTACTCTTATCCATGGGGCTGATTGTGTTGTGCGCCTGTGTGCGTGTATGCGAATATGTCTGAACAATCTAGTAGAGACCTCCCCTCCCATCAGTTTTTCGACACTAGTAGAACCTTTACTGGTCATCACTCTTTTTCCATCCCTTCTTCCCTTCTTACTCTGTTTAGAATTTATATTTCAAAATAATAATTACTCTAGAACCCAGCTTTGCTAAAGTACACCTCTTACTCAGCTCCTGCACTAAAATGACTGTGGCTGGAGCAAAATGCAGCCTCGTGGACTGGGCTTTTACAAATTTGACCACAAACCTCGAGTGGACCCTCGGCACTGCCTGGAAATCTGTCTTCCTTTTCTCAGTAAATTCTCCCACTTGTCTCTCTCCGTCCCTCTCAGCTCCTTAGTTCATCGAGGATAGGATAACGTCCTTATTTTCCCTCCACCAAAATCCTCCAGTGTGCCAGCATTGACATCGCGTGCTCGTCTTGCCTTCCCGTTGATAGAGGTGAGCTCTGCTAATACGGCAGGTCCGCCCCCCATGTACGCACCGGTCCCATGCCTCCTGCCTACTCCGGAATTATCCCTGCCCTCTCTCGCTTCATCCGTTCTTCCCTCTCTTCTGTATCACTCCTCTTAACACGCAAACCTGCTGTTATGAATCTTCTCAAATTTTCTCTTGATCTTATAGGCCTTTCCTGTTATTGCCCCCTTTATTCTGCTCCTCTTTATTGAAAAATACCTTAAAATAATTGCCTTTCTTTGCTATGCCCTCTATCTTCTGTCTTCTCTTGAACTTACTTCGAGCGGGCTGTCCTGGGTTACCAAGGTTACCAATGACTTCCAGGCGACTAAACTCTGATGGTCCCATCCAGCAATCCCACTTCTGGGTATATACCCCAAAGAAGTGAAATCAGAGATTTGAGAAGATAGTGTACACCCCATGTTCATAGCATTATTTTCAATAGCCAAAAGGTGAAACAACCTAAGTGTCCATTGATGGATGAATGGAGAAACAAAATGTGATATATCCAGACAGTGGGATATTATTCAGCCTTAAAAAGGAAGACTATTCTGACATATGCTACAACATGGGTGAACCTTGAAGACATTGTGCTGAATGAAATAAGCCAGATACAAAAGGGTAAATATGGTATGATTCCTCTTGTATGAGGTGCCTAGAGTAGTCAAAAATACAGACACAGAAAGTAGAATTAGTAGTTGCTGGGGTTGGGGGAGGAGGGAATGGGGAATTATTGTTTACTGGTTACAGAGTTTCTCTTTGGGATGATGAGAAAATTTTGGAGATGGATGGTGGTGTTGATAGCACAACATTGTGAATATATTTGTGTTTAATGTCATTGAACTGTGTACTTAAAAGTGATTAAAATTGTAAATTTTATGTTATGTATATTTTACAATACTAAAAAAGAAATCTAGTGGTCCATTCTCATTCCTTGTCTCGTATGGCCACTCAGCAGTAATTGACACCATTGATTACTGGCGCCTTCTCCTTTTTTTTAAATAACAGCTTTTTTGTGATATAATTTGCATACCATAAAAATCACCCACTTAAAGTGTACAAGTCATTGTTTTTTAGTATATGTAGAGAGTTGAGCAATCATCACCACAATCAATATTAGAATATTTTTATCACCCCCACCAAAACACCCTGTAACCATTGGCAGACACTTATCATTTTCCCTAACTTAATCTTGCCCAAATCTTGGCCATTATGAATCTTACTTTCTGTCTAGGTTTGCCTACTTTGCACATTTCATTGAAATGGAATCATATAATGTGTGGTTTTTTTGTGCCTGGCCTCTTTTACTTAACATAATGTTTTCAAGGTTCTTATTTGTCGTAGCATGTTATCGGTACTTCATTTTCTTTTATTGCCAAATAATATTTCACTGTACGGATATGCCATGTTTTATTTACCCATTCTCGGTGGGTAGATGTTTGAGTGGTTTCCACTTTTGGCTATGATGAATAATGCTGCTGTGAACATTTGTGTACATGATTTGGTGTGGACACGTGTTCTCATTGCTCACATTCTCACCTTCTCACAAGGCATTTTCACTTACCTTCTGGCACACCACTCTCTAAAAACCAACTCTTGATATTTTAAAATCTATTATTTGCTCTTTCGAAAGGGCAAGTCGTGGTCTGGGCTTTTCAAAGCGGTGAAGGATCACCTTGTTCATTTCGAATTCTATGTCTGAAATCTGTTTAAAAGCACATTAATTTTTTCTTTCTCTGATAAGGGGACATCACTCTAATTTGTAATCTCCCCTAAGGAAATGAGTTTTAAGAACTTCTTAGCACTTGTTTTTCTGAGAGAGAGAGAGAAAAAAAAATAATGGGCAAGCTGCTAAGCCATTTCTTTACATCTTAGTTCATGGTATTACCAAAAGGCAAAGGGCCAAATTCTGCTTTAAATGATCTGGTAAGACAAATTGAAGGTTTAAAATTCTTATCAGAGGTTTTAAAGATGTGAAGGGTTAGCAGAGGTGAACTCAAAAAGTTCTGTATACTTTTGAATTTTTGAGAATTTTAAATCACATGTTAACATATGGAAAGTTTGCTGTGGAAAAAGCTCTATTTGGATCCTTTTTACAAAGGAAATACTTACTCCCTCATTTGACTGTTTGGTAAGTGAATTTTGCATTGTCTGTTTTTATTTTTTGTTGTTTTGCTTTGGTATTGTTTGCTTATAATGTGGTATTTTAAACAGTCCTTCGTATTTTCTTTTCTTTAATGAATTGTATATGTTTAAGTAAAACCCACATTTTAAAGGGCATAGTGGATTGAATAATGAATGACTCCCAAAAGGATATGTCCATGTTCTAAACTCCGGAACTTGCCAAGGTGACCTTTTTTGGAAAAAAAGGCCTTTGCTAGTGTTATTAAGTTACGGATCTGGAGATGAGATCACCCTGGATTATCCAGATGGACCCTGAATCCAATGAAAAGTGTCTTTCTAAGAGAGCAAAGGGGAGGAGGAGAGGCGGGCCATAGGAAGATAGAGGCAGAGATTAGCATTTTACAGCTACAAGCTGAGGAATGCATTGAGCCACCAGAAGCTGGAAGAGCCTAAGGTTCTTCCTTAGGGCCTATGGCCCTTCTATCTTGATTCTGGACTTCCAGCTTCTTCAACTGTAAGAGAACACATTTCTGTTGTTTTAAGCTACAAAATTTGATGATTTGTCTTGAGGTAGCTCTAAGAAACTAATACAAAGAGGATGCTAGTTTAATGGTTTTACAAAATGAAAACTTCTTGAGTAGCAGAGGGATTCATTTTTTCATTCTCTGAATTGCCTGATATCTGGGGTTGGGGCCGCATCTCATAGGTAATGTATTAGTCCTCAGTCCTGTCCATCACTGCCTTTTCTGCCTCACCTCGGTCCCCACCATCCCCCTGAGCTGCTGGCTTCTGCCAAGCTCTTTGCTTGAAAGCTCCCAGTTCCCCTTCTATTAGCTAATTTCCAATTTCCTGGACAATCTTTTCTTTCAACCAGACTGTGGGCTTTGATCCAGTCTATCAATATGGTACTTACCTCTTCAGATGGCCAGGACAGGGGTCCCAAATTCAAAATGCACAAGCTTTCTGGATGTATGAAACAAACAACAATAGTACAAGAACAAAGCCAAACTCTGGAAGGCGGTAAAAATGGTTACCAAATGCTCTGCCCAAAGGGGCAGCTTCCACTTAGCTCCAGGAAATTATTGCCACAAATAACTGAGAAACTAGTGTTGCCAGATCTGATTTGTTAAAAGAAGCTGGAAATCTAGATTTTTCTGTAAATCTGATTTTTAAATAAGGCAACTAATTCGTTGTAAGACACAAAACAAAACCTTAAAATAACAAGCAAAAAAAAAAAAAAATCGTGGTGTGTGTGTGTGTGTGTGTGTGTGCGCGCGCACGCGCGCGTGCGCACGCGCACCAAACAAAAATGCATCTGTAGGCCTCACGTTTCTTTTTTGAGATGACTTCTGTCTTATTATGTAAAGGTGTTGGATAGGATCACTCCATACATTTCTTACATCTTTTAGGGCTCTATAAAAACCTCCATCTCCTAAAGCTAGGGAGTGGAAGGGTCATCAAAGGTTTTACAAGTTGTCAATGCTTTGTTGGGTCTGCTTTGCTGAATTTAACAATACAGAGACAGTTTAACATGTTAAATATTTTATTCACATTGTTTACAAACTATATCCACCTGGAAAACACATGAATCCAAAAATAGATTATTTTACAGTAATTCACATTTTTTAAAACAAATTACTTTTGAAGTTAAACTCTAAGCATGGAGGTCCTTAGCCTGTATTGTGCATGGTTCAGTGCCTTGTCACATGAAGCTTCCTGCTCTGGCAAAGGGGAAGTCCTGGGCTGTCTACCTAGTTATAGGTAACTATAACTAGGCTTACCTACCAGTGACCGATAAGAAAGGTCAGTGCAGACTTTAACCCGTGAACATTTACTTGAGTAAATTTACTGTTGCTATTTTTGTCAAGGAAATATGTGTTTTGGAGCTTGAGTACGTATCAGGTAGGAAGACAAAACAGAAGAGACATGATTTAATTTGCTATTACAGAATTGTCAGGACATTCCCAGTTCTATAAAGGTTTAACAGCTTGGCTACAGATAGAATCATTGAATAACGATTTTTATCAAAATCGTGTTGACAGCTTGAATCACATAAACGGTGGTGATTTGGGAACTGATATGTCTGTTGACTAACTCCTTGCATATCTGATGCCTCCTACCAATAAGAGAAGGCCGGGGCGGGGGGTTAGGGGGAGGGAGGGAACTCAGCAAAAATTAAGAATTACTTGAGAAGGATGGCCCTGGGAGTTTGGCTGAGTGGCCACAAAAATGTTCTGGTTAAGAAACGTACTATCAAACTATGCTAAACCCAGTGATGTACCAGCTCGATGGCTTAGCTCTTTCACTAATTAAGAAGCTTTCCTATGGAATTCGACTTATGATTTAAAATCTACGGTATGTTTATCTTACCCACATCTTACCTCCTCCTACTATATTAACTACAAACCAATCACTTTTTCCCCTTTGTGAGCTGCCACAGTTAAATAAATGCGTGAACACTTTGGAGCCTTTAGAATGGGAGTGCTAGGTGGGTCTAATGGCAGAATTGGATGCTTTTTCTCTGAGCAGCACCGATGGCGCTGGCTACTGTGGTTCTGCATCTCTTGATTAGGAAGTAATGTTTGCTCAAGGTATCGCAAAAGATCACCCTTCCTCCTCCTCTCGGGTTGAAAAAAAAAAAGGAATTTCTTAAGGGTTGTTGCCATCACCCCCACGTAGACAACAACAACTCTGAATCCAAATGTAAGATGAGATGTGGAGAAATTTTATCAGCACATTTGCAGGTTTAAAAGACAAAAACAAAGACGTTCAAATGTCTATTGCAATCTGATTGTTTTAAAAGACAGAAATCCATAACATAACCTCGATGATGGAGTAGATCATAGCTTGTCTTCCTGCCACCCGTGTGCATTTTTTCCAAATTTGTACACTAACCTTCGGTCGACCCGTTCCAAAATTCCCGTTTTGTAGTAGTACCTGAGAGAAACAGCAGAAGAGAATCGTGGGGAGGGTTTGCACCTCAGGAAAACAACAGAACATAAACACTCTCCTCCTTCCTCTCAGGTGACAAGGCTGCTCTTCGGTTACCCTGGTATTTTCACACCCTCTTATCAACTTACACTTAAACCTTTCCCAGACATCTTGAAGACTGAACCTCACCACATTCAGTTCAGAACGTGTTGTGTGTGTGTGTGTGCAAGATGGTGTTTTGTGGGTATGCATGAGATGGCCTGGATTCAGAGTGATCCTGTGGAAAACTGCCAAGAATGGAAAGGATGGCGTGTCCATTTACAAACCATAATCCCACCTGTAAGAACCAAAGTGTTGTCTCATGACCTTTCGTTTATCAAGAAAAAAAACTGCAAACACAATTTTTCTATGGCTGGCCACTTTATATAACTCTACCTGAAGGCTCATGGCATCTTGTGCTATTAACTTACCTCAGAGCTCTGCTCAACTTTTCGTATGTCATTCTGTCATTTTTCTTCCTTTGTCCCCACATCTTTGCCAGGGCTTCTGATTTAACCACCCGAAAAATACCTTGTTCCCTATCTTCCCATTCCAGAATGCCACAGTTTTCTTCAGGAGATAGAAGCAAGTCTCGTACAAATTCCCATAGGTGAGAACTTTGGAGGCCTTTTGAGAAGGAAAAAAAAAAAAAGTTACTTAATTTTGTTTTTTAAATTATAAGCGTTGCACAACTTCTCATTAACCCACAAGAACTGCTGCTTTATAGGGTTCTTTCCCATGATTATGATGGAGTGCTCTGCTTAGAACCTTACCGAGCTGTGAAATGTCTGACTTCTAGTAAAGAAATCACAAAACACATTCAGGGACACCAAACTTACTCTGACCAGCAACACTGTGGCTTACAGGCTTTCCTTGCTGTGGAATCATGGACGAATTCTTACGGAATTAATGAAATGACCATGAAACAATCTTTTCATTCATTCTAGCAGGCAATATTGTTGTCCCACAGCCACAACTGTCTGGGTGGACCAATCCTACAGTCATGTTTGTCATGAAAAGCTGGTGTTTCCATTGTTCCACCATGTTGTGGTTAAGACTGGTTCTGGAGTCCAACTGCCTGAATTCACCTCTTCCTAGATCTGTAATCATAATCTCTCTACTTATCTGTAAAATGGGATAATAAGAGTACCTGCCTCATGACAGAGGTTATAGGATTATGAGCTAATACATATCAAATGGCTAGAACCAAACCTAGTAGACCGATTCTGCACTGGGTGGATCTGTCTTAGTGCTGGGAAAGGCTATCAGAATTGCCAACTGATGGCATTTTCTCTACTATCGTCCCTGAGGAGTTCAGTGAGAAGGGCCCCCAGCGGACCAGGACAAATAAACCTTTATTCAGGAATTCAACATGTTTAGAGAATTGTTTCCTCATTTTAATTCTTATAGTACCATTTCCAAGTGAAAACAAATAAATGTGAATTTGATTACGTTTATAAAAATCACTACCTGCTTTGGGAAATAACTGGTCCCACTTAAACATTCAGTTTCAGAGCTTATGAAAGTGATTACTTTGTCTCATGGTTTTAAGAAATTAGAAATGAAAGGTGGCATCTCTACACTTACTTGTTCGACTATGACTGTGACAGTCTTGACTTTTGATGCCACTTGTTTTCAAGCAGCTGGAATCAGCATCTGAAATAGAATGATTTACAGTAGTAAGAAGCAATCTAGAGGCCCCATTCAGACCTCGAATCACACCAAAATGAGAAAATAGTAATTGAACACCTTTGTGGTGGAAGACACCATGCTAGATGCTTTGGAGAACATTAGTAGGTGGGAGGTGCAGAGATGCCTAAGACTCAATATTTGTCTTTAAGGAACATTTGTATTCAACACTGGGGACCTGCTGTGAGCCAGGTTCTGGGCTCCATGCTGGGGATACAAGATCAACCAAGGTAGACTCAGCCTCGATCACGTGAGATTTAAGGACTAATGGGCAAGGTAAAATGCAAATGAAACGAACCATTGTCCGTGGTTTTAAGTGTTAGGAAGGAAACGGGATATTGGATGGAGAATGAAGGTGGGGAAAAGCACCTCGTTGCTACAGAGTAGCCTGGGAGGGTCTCATGAAAAGGAGACATTTGCGCTGACAGATAAAGATGAGAAGGAGCCGTGTGAGTAGGAGGGAGAGAGTGTTCCAGTCCATGCAAAGTCAAGCATGGAGAGGGGACCAGTGAGGCAGGTGTGCAGCGGGCCCCGGGTAGAGTGGTAGATGATGGAGCTGGGGAAGCGGGCTGCCATCAGCAGATTACACAGGGCCTTCCTTGCAGGCCTTGGTAAGGATTCAGGATTTATTCCTAAAATAAAGAGAAGACTTTGGAGTATGACAAGGTCCACACTTTAAGACAGTCTCTCTGGCTAGTGCGTGAAGAACAGACTGAAAGGGGCACAAGTTAAAGCAAAGAGACCAGTGCCTCGCTCTGGGCCTGGTGCAGTAGATGTTCAATAAATGTTTGTCAAATGAAAGAAAAGAGAAAGAAAAATGGATGAGGAAAGCAAAGGAGTTAAGGGCTTCGGATTTAGACACACTAGGGTCATCTGTCACCTTCTAACCTTGTCACCTTAACCTCTAAGCTTTAGTTCCTAATCCTGTAAAAAAGGCTATGGTACTAGGACTTGTCTTATAGGGTTACAGGAGAGATTACCTGAAACAATGTCTGTAAAAATTCTAGCACAGGGCCTGGCTCATAGGAAGCCATGTCCCCTCCTGGCCTCGAGGCCAGAGCC